GAAGAGCTCTGTGTATGCTTCAAAGTCTGTCTCCCCCTCATCAACAGAAGTTGTCCAATAAGATATTACCTCACCCACTGTCTCTCTCAAGTTCTAACAGCTGAATTTGGCACCAGGCTTCTGAATGGGCTATGTAAAACAGGGATTACTTTTGAGGGACTTTTAAATTCCTCTGACCTTTGGAAAGGAGTGCACAGGTGCAAACTTCTTAATCCCTCAAGTGATGTGGGGTGAGGATGGGACAGTAGCAGCTATCCAGAGAGACAAATCAGGAGTGAAATGCAAAACACTGTGACCAGTTGAAAGACATTGTCAGGAGGAGCCTCTCTCCGCATAAAATTATTTGTATGGTAGTAGTGTCTAGGAGCCCTAGTCATGGTCCTCAACCCCATCACGCTAAGTGCTGTACAAACACAAAACCAAACACAGCCACTTCTTCAAAGAGCTTTCGGTCTAAGGAAATCCTGAACCCCACCAAAACAACCCTTAGCCTTTAGGTGTATCGGGAAAAGCAAACCCTAAAATACATGTTTCCAGTTCCTCATAGGAAAGTGTTTTTTTGGTTTTTTGTTTGTTTTTTTTCCTCTGTATGCAGCACCATAAATGTAAACAGGGCTTTACAGAACATGTAAAAATGGCAGGCTCCCTGACCTGGAGAATTTATAATATAACCCTGAAAAGCAGGATGCAAGGCACAAAAGTGAAAGCAAAGGTGGTATGGGGGCCATTGCTAGCAAGCAGCCCTGGGGTGAAGCCTTCCCCACAGAAGTGGGGCTTCACAGGAAGGATTTCCAGGATGAATAGGGGGCAACTGGCCAGCAAGTGATTGTTCCAAGTCATAGGCAAGTATGGAAGAAGGCATGAAGCCAGAGGGGGAGAAGGAACTGAAGGGAGTAGTTAAGAGGCAAAAACCATTTAAAATTGATCTTTTAAATACACTCAGCAGCCCAGTGCTTTAATTGAGGAAGTGCCACCTGGGACTTCAGAGAATTATAAAAAGCAACAGAGGGTCCTGTGGCACCTTTGAGACTAACAGAAGTATTGGGAGCATAAGCTTTTGTGGGTAAGAACCTCACTTCTTCAGATGCAAGTAATGGAAATCTCCAGAGGCAGGGGTACATTAGTTTTGCGATAACGAGGTTAGTTC